TTCATGCCAATGCATTCGACTTAATAAAAAGCACCAGAAATACTCGTGCCCGGTCTTGTTCAGATTCGAATCTCATATATTAGCTGAACGGTTAAAAGAATCCGAGCGGCTAATCTGCGCGCTTACGAAATTTAGAAACGCTCTTATAGTCTCAGATAAGACCACCAATCAAAGACTTACGCAAAAAGGTACGTTGAACGAAAATAAAGGTGTTGAGATCACAACAAACCACGATTCATCAGCTGCTGGATCCACTGATGCAGCTACCCGATCTCATGTTCTCCGGAACTGTGACTTACCAACGAAGAGTGTTAATTTGCCTGTTATGCCTGTAGTCACATCTGATAACCAATGTACATCTAATGACGACACTAATCCGATATTACCCAGTTTACCATTAGAAGCCCATGAGCAAGTACTTAGTTCTAATACTACAACTCTTAAAAAACACTGTCAAGATTGAAAAACCTATGCCACGTAAGAAGAATGTAAGTACAGAACCTTCTGGTTTTAGACCCAATAACAAAAATATTACGATGACCCTACCAAATAAAAATGAGACTATACTTCCCGACACAATGTTTTACCTTACGCATCGTAGGGGAGGTTATAAGGGCAGACTTGATTCAAATGTCTCACAAGATGGCCACTGTAATCAATATGTAAGCAGGCCTAATATTGGACAGACCACAATGAACCAACGCGCCCTACGGTTATCCTCAAACGTTTTAAATAATAAATCTGTAAGACGTAACTATTCTCAACACTTTCCCATTGTGCAGGATGGATTACTAGGTTATTCACCATCAAACGTTTTAAATAATAAATCTGTAAGACGTAACTATTCTCAACACTTTCCCATTGTGCAGGATGGATTACTAGGTTATTCACCATCAACCAAACCCCAATTGGCAGGTGCTTGTTTTAACTGTCCGCTAGTCAAGTTCAACAAATTAATGCACTTTATCAAAATAATGATTTTTTTGGCCTTCAGAAATCCCTGGTCCCACTAGCAATGCAGTTTGTTCAAGCGATAGCCCATACGATCAGTCAAACATAATAAACCACAGTCTATGCAAATCCAAACTACATAACATCAATAGGGAAGCTCTCGGTTTTTTTACACTCCACACTCCCTTTTTAAACTTATTACTTATCAATGCACGTTCACTTCTGAACAAAATTTCAGCCTTGAGAACATTAGCTTTTCTAGCCAAACCTTCTTTCATAATTATCACTGAAACATGGTGCTCTCAAGCATTATCTAATTCAGAATTAAATATCCAGAACTATCGAATCTATCGCTGCGACAGAGAAACTAGGCGAGGAGGTGGTCGCATTATATATGCTTTGGATACCCCAACAACTAATAATGTTGAAGATATTGTCCTGAATAGTTTACCAGAATCAGTCTGGATATCAGTCAACACCCTGAATCATAGTCTACTCCTTGGATGTATATACAGAGCTCCTGATAGTTCGAATAATGGGAATGATCTTATTATCAATGCATTCATACATGCATCTTCTCTAAACTTTAATGCTAAGGTTATCACCGGGGATTTCAATTATCCTGGGATCAACTGGAGTACCGGTAGTTGTCAGTCATGTAATGATGAGTTCTCGGCAACCATTAACATGCACTGCTGGTCACAGTGGGTTCGTACCCCCAACTAGAGGCGATAGTATACTTGATCTAATATTTAGTTGAGATGTTACCCCACTATCTGTAAAAGTATATGATGAATTTGAAAGCAGTGACCATAAGATAGTAGTTTGCGCTCTCCCTATCTATCTCTCTTATAACCCACCCATTCAAAAAACTTGTCATAACATAAACAGTATATCACTGTGTCATATGACACACGCATTTGGGTAGACATGATTGATATATTTTGGTAATTACTGTTTTGTTGTTCCGTACTCTCTGTTTTCGTTTTAATTTCTCTAGTTGTAGATAATTATCATTATTTCGATCTAGCGCACGAATTGACGTTAATTACACCGTTCATAAATCAACAGGCTGTCCATTTAAGAAATATTAAAAACTCCCGGCTGATGCATTGGATCGCTGTAATATATGTACTACTTAAACATCTACTGAACTAGTATACTTAAAACTTTCTTTTATCACATGTTTGTTCTGCACGTCTAACGTTACTATTTATATCAAATTGATCATGCCTGTAAACTGGCGTGAATTCTGTAATTATTATTTTTCAGAATATAAATTATTAATGAAGTGCATCCAGCCATTCAGTTTACATCTGAAGAAGAGAGTGATGGCCGAATAGCCTTTTTGGACGTTCTCTTGACTAAGAGAGCGGATGGCTCGTTAAAAAGGAACCTAAACAGAAAAAGTACATGGACTGGGCAGTATACGAATCTCCTGAGCTTTGTACCTCTACAGTACAGACGAAACTTGATCAAAACCCTTAGTTACCGTATACATACTATATGTTCTGCTGATATAATTTTACAAGAGCTTAACACCTTGCATAATACTCTCAGGAGAACGGCTAACCTAGAACGTTTATAATTAAATATATCGTCACGAAGGCGAAATACAAGCAGTGAAGAAGAAATTCCTGTTCATGCGTCTACAATTCAGAGGGGATGCGACCAGTGAAATACTAACTCAGAGATTACGTAGGACAATACAACAGTCCTTTAACGCCGGAGAACTGCGATTAGTATTTTCTACGCGCCCAATGGTTACATCGAGGCTAAAAGATGAATTACCTAGAATGACCACCTCAATTTGTATTTATCAGTTCGACTGCTCCTGTGGAGCGAGTTTTGTTGGTTGAATTTCTAGGAATTTACATTTTTGTGGTCGTGAACACCTTCCAGGGTGTCTAAACAAAGGTTTGATGAAGAAGGTGAACAGCTCAATATTGGCCCATTTAGTGCAAACCGGTCATAGTGCCAGTATAAACCAATCTTTTCTCAATTATTCATAAGGTCAGTAATTTTCTGCCAAAACTGGTCAAACTGAAAGTCTTTCAAACGGCTGAAGCAGTAGCAGTGAGCACATCCGACCGACACATTGATAGAATTGGATGTAGGGGGGTATTAGGCTTACGAATTTTTGGTAATCCACAAACAGTCTCATGTTGAAACGGAGACTTAAATTAGCTATCAACCGGACATTTTATGCAGCCTGCCTTGTCATTATCGAAAAGACAAGGTCTATGTTTCACACCAAAAGCCCAAACAGCACGAATGCGATTGTGTCTATCAATTTACATGTAGGTGTGGAAACACGTACATAGGGAGGAGCAATCGTGATTTGCAATTAAGGGGTGGGTGAACACACACCCAAATGGATTCCAATGGTCAAATAAGATCACAGGATAGACAGACATCATCCTCCATTGCGAAACACTTGATTGAGACGGGTCATAAGGTTGACGTCAAATCAGCACTTGTAGTGTCATACAAAAGCCTTCAAGGACGTATACTAATGTTTTTTGAAGCCTTGGCTACACGGAAATTGAAACCCCCTTTATGTGTTCAAAAACAATTTGTCCTTACACTTAACCTACCCTGGTAATACTGATTTATTATCCAGAGTGGTAATCACATTTGTTTTTGTGTACTTTAACTTACCCTTAACCTGTCAAGTTGACCTTATAATTTTCATATATAAATGTTCTTAACAAGTATATGTGTGATCAGATTGTTCGAAATGTATTGCGCAAATATATCACATAATTCTGATAAACTACGTCTTCTCATTGCATTATCGAAACTTAATTATATATTTATCCAAAGTAGCCTAACAATATTGAAGATGAATACCAAATATATTACTCAGAACCACTTGTTTTTTCTATAAATTTAGGTCTGTTATAAGCACTATATGATATAAGGAGTTCAATGGCATTCTAAACAGTCTAATCATACATTAACCTTTTAGTATACTTATATGTGAATGTGACAGGTCAATCTGGAAAAATAGAAGTATATGTTCAAGCAAAAAAAACATGAATTACAGTACTCATGATCTACAAAATCGAAGCCAACATCGTCAGGATAGGCTTAGGTTAAATAAAAACTAATTTTTTAAGTACATAACAGTGCTATGAATTTTCGCATGGTTAATGGTTCAATACATTCTAATATTCGCCTTGTACAAAACTACGAAGGGTGAGTTTAGATTAACCCCATGATCTAAGATGGATAGTTAACTATCTTCACCCAACTTTACTAGTGCATCACGACTAACTCCTCTTATGTGTTCATACATACATGTATATACAAAATGATAAACAAAATGAAATGTAACTCAAATGTTTATACTTTATTTGGGTTTTTGGTAAAGAATAGACTTTATTTTATTATCAGAATGGGTTTCGTGGAGATTTTTAGAAATTTCACTGGTTGAAATCATGAGTCAATTGAAGCTAGACCACCATGGAAAACCTGGAAGCACTGGACGGCCGTTTCGTCATGGTATGGGACTCCTTAGCAGTGCGCATCCACGATCCCGCACCCTGCGGGACTCGAACCTAGGTCATGAAAATTATCAATAAGCTTACGAATATTTCAATAGTTAGTAACTTATAAAAGTAAAATTGGTGTACCTTGTCCCCACACTACTTCTACCTCATTTCCTTCAGTCTAATAAAAAAAATCTAGACTTATTTCTCAGTAGGGAAAGGTGAAGATTCGACTCAACTTTCTGAGGAAACATACAAACACTTTTGGTTGAAAATGTGGCTTAGATAGTGTACAGGAAACTGGCATATCAGTGACAGACACGAACGACTGCATACACTAACAAAAATCAAATAACCTTTTGCGAAATGATAAAAATATATTTGATGTGCAATCAGACACAATAATTTAGTATCTGATTATATCATAGGAACGATTGGACAGAAATGATAAGTAAAAATACGGAAAATATTTCCCACAAAATTTAAAGAAAATTTAGTCCGAAAAATGACTTATATAACGTGAAAAAGTGCACTATGAGAAAAAAACAAACTCACCTGCATTCGTACACGAACAACATCAAGAGGATTAACAATAATAGCAGATGAAATTCCAGCTAGAGGAGCCGAAATCAATTGAATCAATAATCTTGGAACTGGAGCAGAATCATCCTCTGATGGCAACAATACCGAGTCTTGAACATGTTCCTTACATATTTTCTTTGAAATAAAATGGATCAGATCTAATAAAGAGGGAGAAAATATATATATATGTATAAACAAGAGTCTGACTTCCGCATTTTTAGCTGGAGAAAAAAATGGTCAGTTTTGTCTGTCGTTCTTATCATGATGATTGTTAGCACATGCAGACAGAAATCATATTAATTATGTTTACAATAAAAAATACTGATGGTTCCGTACGTAACAAACAACGCTATACTTCAAAGAATATTAAATAAGCTTGACTTACACATGCATACAAACAGAAACAATACTCAGAAATATAAGAAAGCCCTTTACATAGCTTTGAAGAAGTGAAAAACTATTGCGTATCAAACAGTTACTTTAGTTGGTAGTATATGGTATATTTTAAACACATATACGTCAAATGTTTGTGGGGTTAAACTTTACCAGTTTTTTACACTTTTTATAATATTCAGAGTTCCTTAGGATTAGTTCTTGAGTATTTAAGAATTTAAGAGCTCGGGAACAGAGACTTTGAGAAAACTAAACAAGTTTCACATCTGGGTGTGTCGATCAAGTATTCACCCCTCTTCAGGTTTTGGAACATGAATATACCTGTCGGCACCTGACGATATTTATAGCTCTTGACTTTAAAGTTGCCCTTGACTCTGTTGGTCAACAGGTTTTATGGAGACATCTGTAGTTAAAAAACGGACTAAAGAAGTACGCTAACTTATGAAGGATTTTTTGCTGAAAATCATTGGTTGCACCGCAGCCTATGGTGAACTTAGTAATAATTGGTTACATCAAGTGGTTGTTGGCAGGGCTTTCCACTTTTCTGATGTTATCCAACTTAATCAAATACACTTCTAGAAATGATAATTTCGTAGTTTACTTTTCAAGGGTAAGATTCCTACTTTGACATCCCCCAAACAAACCAGAGTATGAGGATAACACTGAATTAAATACGACAAAACACAACCTTTTGAACAACCTAGACGACAATGTAGTCATATTTCAAATATGTTTCCCCTTTCCGTTACTCCACAATTCATTGGTGTTAACACTTAGTCTAACCTCTGGGAATGAAGAAAATAGACGCACTGAGTCAGTCAGTCAGCTACAACGTAGGACCAGGAACATATATGCATCGGCGCACTGACTACTGTTTTTATTATATGTCTCATCAGGCCTTACCAATTTCCGGTAAACATGGTTAGTATAGTAGGGTCATAGAGAATATATGATACAGGTGATAAAGGTCAACTGGGTTGTCAAGATAAGCGAGCACTATTATCGAGCCAGTACAGGAGCTACTATCGACCAATTATGCATAATAATAATAATGGTTAGAATAACAACTTTAAACAACTTACTACAAAATTTATCATAAAATGACCACCACAATGCCGAACTAGGTACAAAAGTGCACATAGATATTAAACAACCTTTGTAGAAACCTTTTAACCCGTGAGTCTGTTTAATATAACGAATTACGCCACAAAGACGACCCCAATTGGAATTCATTTCATTTTGTGTTAAATGAACCGGAGTTAATGGACGGAAACGGTGTGGGTTAAATGATAGATTTGAATTTTTGTTGACCATATTTGCATGAACACGATTACAATTCACAACCATTAAGTGTTGAGACACAACATCAATCGGAACGAAAAAACCTTGAGCAATACATGAAGCCACTGCACCACCAACAAAAGATCGATGAACAGGACTTAGTGCTGGAAAGACTGTACATGCTTGTCTGGCTACTTCATATGTGGAAACGTAGATAGTACCTAGTTAAGAATAGAAATTAATTTAAAAACTAATTTTAAAAAACGAAGATCCGTCACACAATATTTTGAATACTTCCACGACCTAATATCAGAGGGAAAACCACTTTTTCAATACCGTCTTTTCAGCTACGACTACTCATTCCATCTGGCTCTGAACATAATGAAGAGCGGAGTCAGCTTAAGCGCAAGCTGACAAGAAGTCTACGCAATGATTGTGAAGTGGTGGGTAGCGAAAGCAAGAGAGATGGAAAAGGCAGCGGCAATAGGTAACAGCAGACAATTGTTCAGACTTGTTAAGGAAACCGGTATTAGGAACCCGACTGTTAGCGAAACAATCTCAGAGAAAGATGAACATATTATACATTCTCAATCCAGGAGATTGGATCGATAGGCAGAACACTTTAGGGATCAGTTCAACTGGCCTTCAACTACACTGCGGTTTCCCACGATCTCCAGTCAACCTGAATGACAAGTTAATGCAGTTCCTCCGACTCTACGAAGTTGAATAAGCTATAGGAAATCTGAAACGAGGAAGAGCAGCAGGCCATGACAGGTTTACTCCTGAGATTTTTAAGGATGGTGGTTCAGTATTAGCAGTGCCCCCAAATGCCCTGGTACGGCCGAGAGTGGGGAGAGTCCGCTCTCCCTCTCGAAATGCTCTCACACGGCCACACGTATATAGCCTCTGCCAGGGAAGTCCTACTCACTGCCTTCTCGTGGCGCGGGTGTTGTTTACGAAAATGAGAGGACGAAAAGCGAATGTCCGGCGCTTTAACCGGATTCAAAATCAATGGTGCACATGGGCTCCAGTATCCTGCGGGAACAAATAGCGTATGAACCAATTGCTGGTCACCGGCTTCCATGGGACTGCATCTCCTTACGATGCTCAACTGCCTTGTGGATCAGACCATTAGGTCAAAGGCTCGGGGTGTGGCCCCCTAAGAAAACCACCTGCTTCGGTCTGGGCACCCGGGCAGTATCATAGCCCTCACATATATCGAATGAGATTTGTGTGGCGCACATGTATTTGGTGCCTCTTTGTACCATTATCTATGTGTTGAAATAATAATAATAACAGTATTAGCAGTGAGATTAACTGAGGTCTTAGGTAGAATTTGGGAACTGGATGTAATCCCATCTGACTGGTCTCAATCACTGATTGTGCCAGTCTATAAGAAAGGACAAAAGTCCTCTTGTGACAATCACAGAGGAATCAGTTTTACTAATATATTGTCTAAAATGTTAGCTTCAATAATACTTCGACGCCTAATCAAAGCTCCTGAAGAGCAGACTAGAGAAAATCAGGCTGGTTTCTGACCTGGACGTGGTTGTACAGACCAGATATTCACACTACGTCAGATTCTAGAACACAGACACACATTCAGATGTCCCACAATCGTAGTATTTCTCGACCTTAAGGCGGCATTCGACTCTGTTGATCGTGAGGTTCTGTGGCAATGTTTGTCATTGAAAGGAGTACCAAAGAAGTACATTAACCTTGTAAAGGCTTTCTACTCGAACACAACTGGTCGAGTGAGAACTTATGGCGAATTGTCATCAGATTTGATTACCTCAAGTGGTGTTCGTCAGGGCTGTCCACTCTCTCCATTCTTGTTCAACTTTGTTTTTGACGTGCTTTTAGATATGACAGTTCCCTCATCTAGATTTCCAGGGGTTGAACTTTTACCGGGAGATTCACTTGTTGACTTAGAATATGCCGATGACATAGTTTTATTTGGTGAAGACGCTGACAAAATGCAGTCTTCTGACCACTCTAAGCAACAATGCAAGCATGTTCGGGATGCGATTCTCCCCCTCGAAATGCAAAATGTTGCTTCAGGATTGGGTTGCATCGACACCAAAACTAATGATAGGGAGTGAAGTAATTGAGAGTGTCGACCGCTTCACTTATCTTGGAAGTCTCATCAGCCCTTGTGGTCTGGTGTGTGACGAAATCTCAGCACGGATACAGAAGGTTCGACTAGCTTTTGCCAACTTGAGTCATTTATGGCGTAGGCGAGATATCCGTCTATCAAAAAAAGGATGTGTTTACTGTGCAGAAGTTCCTTCCGTCCTACTTTATGGCAGTGAAACATGGCCGGTAAGAGTAGAGGATATCCGTAGGTTACTAGTATTCAATCATAGGTGTCTTCGAAACATTGCTCGTATATCCTGGGATCATCGAGTAAGTAATGTAGTTGTTAGGAAACGGGTACTAGGTGAGGATGGTAAATCCATTGATAAAGTAGTGCGATGTTTTATGGTGTAGGAGTAGGTTGGAGGAAAGCTAGTGGTGGCCAGACCGAAACATGGCACAAATCCATGAAGTCACTGACAAGTGGACTGAGCCATGTTGTTAGGTGTAGACTATCTGGTTGGGGACCGCGAGATGATAGCAACCGATGGTTAGAGACCCTGAATGACATTGCTCAAAATCGTTTGCAATGGCGTAGGTGCATCCACTCTTTGTTTTCCCAAATTATAGTCTTCTGAATACTGTGTTTCTCTTTCCCTCTTTTCAAATTTATTTCGCTGTATTATACTCCTTGAATAACATCTTCAAACCCTAATCTTTCCGATTACTGCTTATACTCTTACTACCTCTACCACTATGGGATTTGAGTCGACAACTGCATCTCTGTGCTAATGTGTTATGGCAACTCGAACTGATGTACGTACGTGCGAAGTTCTACGTTGTTACTGACTGACTGACTACGACTACTACTAATTTTACTACTCTGAGATTTGTCTTGATAACTTTATCTCATCCTGCTATGTTATGGCAACTTGAACCGATACACATACATGTTAGGTTATAAGTGGCGTATGACTGACTGAGGGAGGAAATATGAGAAAACTTGGGTAAATTATAACATTTTTCAACTAAATCCCGAAAGAAAAATGACGTAGCCATAACGTTCAGTGCTGATAAGACAATAAACATGAGATAAAAACATAGATGAATTTGTCTTAAACCAACCCACACCAAATTAAAAAATTCCTTACCGCAAATTCTGCATAGCTAAATGACCATGAAGGGTCCCAAAACCAATGTATATAAGAGGTCTTAAAAAATAGGCTAATTTGTTTATTGTGGAGGATCACTTAATGCACTGAGTCTTAATTAATTATTTGAGAACTAACGTCTTATTCCAATTCACCAAGTTGGCAATTTCGAAAATAGGGTCTTTGATGGCTCATGAATGCATGTTAGTGAGTGTTAGTCGAGGGTGGAGAGTGTTCACTCTTCGTCTCCAAATGCTCTCATATGGCCACGCGTATACAGCCACTGATATGGAAGTCTTACTCATTACCTTCCTGTGTTCGGGGTGTTATTTACGAAATTTAGAGGACGAAAAGCGAATGTCCGACGTTTTAACAGGGTTGGCGGACACAGAGGGTCCATCAAGAAGAGTTGGAAAACCTTGGTTCTAAACCAATGGTGCACACGGGGTTTCAGGATCCTGAAGTAATAAGTAGCGTATGAACTTATTGTTGGGCACCGGCTACCATAGGACTGCATCTATTATCGTCGCCCCACTGCCTTGTGGATTAGACCTCTATGTCAAAGGCTATGAGTGTGGCTCTCTAAAAAACCCACCTGCCTCGATTTGGGCACCCAGATAGTATCATAGCCCTCACACAAACCAATAATAACTACTACTGGCCTTATTGTTATTATGTGGCGCATATATGCTCGGTGACCTCTTGTACCTATGTTTGTGTTTAAATAAACAAATAAATAAATAAGAGGCAGCTAAACAAAGATACGGAAGGAAGTTATTGACTGTTGGTCTGAGCCATGTTATTAAGCGCAAATTATCTGGTTGAGCCTCGTGCGATTATTGTGACTAACTGTTGAATGTGCTACATATTGCTTAAAATCAGTAGCAACGAAACAGAATCATTCATTCTTTGTCTACACCTAGACCCCGAGCTTCGAAATTATCTTTAACCTTTCATTCCGCACATTTGTTCACTATTCTCAAATCCTATTCTCGACGCCTAACCTTTTTACTATAACAACCAATACACATTTGTGATACGTTCTATGTTGATTATGACTGACTGGCTGACTAAAGTAAACTCCTACAACTGATAAGAAACTTTTAAACACTATTTTTTTCATCGGATATTTATATATTTAGGAAGATGGAATTATATCTTGCTGCGACGGACTTCTCTCAAGACAAGTTGATGACGTTAATCGTCTCCAAAATATAATGTATGTAATGCTTATTAACGTTCATGACGAATACATTATTTAACAAGGATATAATTAAAAGTTGAGATTGTTTAAGTGCTTATTTTAAAAAAATTAAAAAGGTAAAACAGCCACCTAAGTATGTAAAAGGCCGTTCTAGTGATTTTCGGCACCAGAACTAAAGCCTACACAACAGAAAGAAGCAGCCCACCTGAGAATATGTGAAATGATCGGACCAAGTAGCCACTATACAATCCTCGAAAACCCTCTTCTTTGACAACAGAAGAAATTGCATGTACAAGACCACGATAAACCTGGGCACCTTCCTGAAGTTGGAGTCTTGTACGAAGCAAGACGAATGGATATAATAAAGTCTGAGCAGTAAAATTCCCCAAACCAGAAAGAGGAAAAAACATATGTTTCTTCAACATTGACAGCTCTATCACCTCAAAGTTCCCAAGGTTACCCGGCATCCCAAGTTAGATAAATACAAAACAGATTCAGGAGCTTAACATTTTCCAGCTGAAGCTAAGATCAAGAACAAATAAGAAGCTGAAATAGTGTAGGACTTGACTCCAATCATATTCTTTAAATTTTCAACGACCAAAAGACGGAAAATATGCATTGGTCTTTTTAGTAGTACACTTAGCTAATTTATAATAGATATTATCAACACTTCTGCAGGCAGTAAATTTAAAGATATGGATATTCGTTGAAATAAATTCGTACACTGGAAATATATGCTGAGTTGATCTGATCTAGTTGAAAAAATGTGTCAAATTTTAAATTATTTCTCAGTACTGTGTATCGTGTTTAAAAAATCATTACTTACGACAGAACATCTTCATGAAGTCCAGAATTGATACTCTAAGCCATCAAAATGACTGGACGTGCAAGAAATCTTTGAACCCTACTGGGGCTATGATACAGCTTTCAAATTGGGTGGTTATAACTAACACATTTTTACGGCTTAAGTTCTACTGCTTTTATACAGATTACTGAACAGACTGAATATATTCGTAGGCAATCATCCGGGTGTGAATACATTTCTAAGATTGACTTCATTGTGCTACTTTTCTGTCTCAAATATCTACTACAACTAAGCGTAAAATAAACGAATTTGTCAATCAACTCCGCTTATCTAATTACTTAATGTTCCCATAACACTATGACAACTACATCTTCATGGATTTCATAGTACTCACTTGTCAATTGCACAATCTGAAATAAACAGCATAACTATTATGTACCGACCAAATAATTGGCTTTGGAACAGTTTTAACAAACCATTATTGCACAATTTCAACCACCATAATGGTTGCGGAAGACGTGGTAAGAGATTGAGATGAGAATTCCACTAGTGAGCACTAATTACCCACCGGATAATTAAGAAAGTGACTTGTATGAGAGGTGGTGAAATGAAAAGAGAATAATGCATAGAGACACCACATACCCGCATACCGATGTTTCATCATTAAGAACAGAGACGACGTTATAGGGTATATAGCTACTCAACCTGTGTAGCAGAAACGAAACGTGATGTCATAAGGACGTAGCATCGAAAAATCAGACATACTATACAGCGAACACTAACTTATTTCATCCACAGGTGACACGTGAGGATGCAAAGCACATAAATTAATTAACTCGATAAACAGTAAATAAAGATAGGACCCAGAAATAATAGGGTCTGAAAAACATGCGAAATAAACAATTTGGAAGCTCTGACTTGGATCGCACAACTCTTACCTAAGCTATCAACCATTATAAACCGCGAACTAATTGCCAAGACAAGTCATCAGATACAACAAATGCATATAAGCATATATATGTATCTATATCTGTAAATTACACAAGCATTTAGTAGAACTACTCAGAAGCGAATGTACCAACAACTCCACAAGCACATTAACACGTCCTTTGCAGGTAAACATCATACTCAGCTTTAATATTACGCGTTTGTTCATGTTTATTTATATCGGCTGTTATAGCAGTCGCCTTCTTGAAATAAATGAACTCGTAAGGACAAGCAAAGTGACCGACTTGGGTCCCAGTCGACTCCTAGTTATCCACCTTTCAAGCTTTGTTCTTTTTGCTCTGTCCTTTTTACATTAAATCCTATCCTTGATGTCTAGTAATCTAAGAAAAGTATTGATGTCTAGTATCGTGATAGAATTAGCACAGACTGATTAATTTTTCTCAACCACACTGTCAAACACTTCTGCACAATGGGTTGCCAATATACTGTGTGGAAGGTTCAATATGATATACCAACCAAAGCTCAAAACCAACCCATTCAAAAACCCGCCAGAGTAGTAAGTAGCCAAGTAGTTCAAATGGTTGTGGACAGAGTAGAATGGTCAAATAGTTCAAATGATTAAGGACGGAATAGAAGAAGCTTTCGCTCAACAGGCTTCCGTGTCTAGTAGCAGGGGATCACCAAATCCTCCAGGTAGGAACCTAGGTATGTTAACAATAAAAGAGGAAAAGAAATTGGTAAATCATAGTGTGATGCTGTCCTTGGTCCTTAAGAATAGGTCAAGTTGCCTCTTGAAGGACTCCTGAGAAGTCGCTTGGACTAGCTTGGCCGGCAGCGAATTCCAGCTTTTGACAACTCTTAAGGAGTAGAAGTTGTGTCTACATTCCGTCTTGCTATGTTGTGTTTCCAGTTTCTGGGTGTTACCCCTTAGGTTATTATTCGAACTAAGCTTAAGTAGGTGTTTAAGAGGATGTCCAGGAGTGTTAAGAATACTATAAGCCATTAATAAATCAACTCTAAGACGCCTATACTCTAATGAGTAAAGGTCTAGTGAATGGAGGCGTTCTTCGTATGGTTTAGATTTGAGTCCTCGAACTGATTTCGTGGCTCGCCGTTGGATACGCTCCAAAGTGGCCTTGTCCTTTTGGAGTGAGGGAGGAGTACTATGTTTCCGTACTCTAAATGGGAACGGACAAAACTGCTGAAGATTGTATGGAAAGTTCGTCCGTCAAACTGTCCAAAAATGCGCTTCAATGTTACCAGTGCAAGGTTTGCTCGGAAGGCATTTTTGTCACAGTTAGCGTAAGACTTTAAATCGTAGGGGACCAGGACTCCTAAATCTTTTTCGACTTGGGATACTACTAGAGAGGAGTTTCCTAAGTTGTAACTGTAGTTTGCGACATGTCGCAGACGGACTACTTTACACTTTGAAGTGTTAAAGGTAAGTCCGTTATCGTATGCCCAATTTTGAAGTTGAGTTAGATCCTCCTGAAGTGCCTGTATATCGTCTTGGTTGTGTACCTCTCTCCAAAAGTTCACATCATCAGCAAAAAGTAATAAGTCTGACGATACCTGTTGTGTAAGATCATTTATGTAAATCAAGAAGAGAAGAGGCGCTAGTACTGAGCCCTGGAGGACTCCACTATGACATTCCATGGCCTGAGATAAAGTGGTGTTGATTCTGACGCTAAAATATTGATTTTTCAGACATGAAGTGGGCCAATCAATTAGAGGTGATCTGATACCCAATCGTTTGAGCTTATTGATAAGACATATATGGTTAACCTTATCAAAAGCTTTTGAGAAATCAAGGTAAACGATATCAACCTTTCCCTTGCGATCGAGGATGCTTGTCCATCTGTCCACCGCAGTCAGCATGTTGGTTATACAAGAGTAACTGTGGCGTTTGAACGAAATAATGATTACTTTGTACTTGTTGAATGCTTGATCTCGAATTCCAAATACGGTACATCCGTTCGTGCTTATCTAGTACTTCTTGATCCAATTGCGTTATTTTTGGGATTCTTACTTCATATTAAAATTCAAATACTCCTAATCATCATAGTAACCCTTCCTGAAACCATGCTGTTGGGGTGAGAAGAAATTTAAGGACAGTAAATGTTCATGTATACCATCGCATATCGGGGAGTCCATGATTTTTGAAGGTATAGAGGGGACAATTTGCTTCAGCCATTAGTTCTCAGTAATTAGGATAGGAGTTCTATCGACCTACATTAATCCTTGCAGCTTTTAGCTCTGTGAAAGTCCAATCTGATGTTCATCAACGAGGCAAAATGAGTCTACATGCACATTGGGATACAAAGGTTAATAGGTGCCGCATAGGGGAAGTGTCTGTACCCGTGGTCCGCTTTCACAAGGATCTTGGGGTAACAGTAAGTCATGATCTTAAGATTAGAACTCATTGCCAGTAACTCTCGGTTAAGGGGTTTAGAACCCTCTGGGCTTTAAGATGGACATTCACTAAGTTAGGTACCACCATGTTCACTACAGTATACACAACCACAGTGAGAACTAAGCTCTATTACTACGTTCAGGCTGCAAGCCTCTGTTTAAAATGTAACTGGAATGTCCTAGAAAAAGTACACGGGGCAGCTACCCGTGAAATTTCCGAACTCCGGGGTTTACCATACAAAGAGCGGCTTGAAAAGCTAGACCCTGTAGGGCCAGTGAAATATCATCAAACCATAGCCAAATCATCCTGCAGTTGGGTTACTGATTATCGAACCGATCATCGATCCCGGTCAGGATCAAGGACGACCAACGCGCATCAGCGGGCGAGTAGAAAAACCAAAGACGCGCAGCGACTTACTTTATGAAGAGAGTGCGATTGTTATTATAGAAACAACTAATATAATAACCAACTGTACCAGTGATTGTTTTACTCTGCCTGTTTGTTTAAGTGTACCAAAAACTTCCGCTGCTCGTGGCCTTGCACGAGCTCTCGTACGCTCAGTAGTCTTACTTCTAGATCTTGGCACGGTTTCGATATTATTTCAACAACACAAGATCGCCAGTAAATATATCTTAACAGGAGCTTTCAACTACCTTTTAATATTTGTCCTACGGAGAGGTCTAACCTGGTAGCTGACACGTATTCGATCTGTAGTGGTGATCACAGTCAGCCGCGCCCGGACGCTAACTACAAACGGACGAAATACTGATGGTATAAAGGCTTTCATACGGGGTCATCAATACTTGGAACCTGTTACCGGAACAGTGGTATCCGCACCTTCAATTGACTCATTGAACAGAAGACTGGATACTCATAGAGACATACGAGAAAAGGAATAGCATAGGCCGTAGGTCTTCTATCCTTACTACACAAATCTGATTATATCAACAGGTGCTGATATTACGTGTTTTGGTGCATAATTTTAGTAATTGACTAATCGGTGCGAGGAACAAAACTCCAGACGTAGACGATTTAATTTCGGTTTTAGAACTTTCTTCGAATGTCCTCTCAAATGATCGGTTCCAGATAGAAGGAAAAGATGAGATATTATTATTATTCACAAATATCTTATGGGTACATGGGTGTTGTGAAGATACCATTTCGGGTTTGGAATAAGGAAGGCGGTTTATTAGAACAAAAAGTGTATATAGCGAGTAAAGTGTTAAGAAAACTAATAACTGTGTCTTTTATTGTCTGACTTTTTTCATCCGATTCCTGACACACAGTTGTAATGTAAAAGTTCGAGTTAGCGTGTTATAGGTTGTCTTGGTAGAATAGCTGATCTAGCATCTATGAAAAGCACATCTACGGGAAAATTCCGTTCTTTTGCCGCAGCCCAATCTTTTCTTGCAATGAGAAGATTTGTCAAACCATCTTGTTCCCAGGATAAAGAGTATGCCCTGCTAAATAGTCTATAACAGCCACCCGAATAATCTTTTCCAATAGTTTTACAACTGCAATGGTTAGACTAATGGGTCGACAGTTACTAAATAAGTCTCTACTCCCCACCTTATACACCAGACTAATTATTTCGTCTTTCCGGTCTCTTGGCAGTCTTGACTGCTGTAGAGACATATCAAACACTATGGCTATAGGTTCAGCACTTAAATCTGATAAAGATTTCATAATTCACACTGGATTTATCGGGTTCCAGATGCTAAAGTGGTCTCAAGACAGTACCTTTCTCAATAATTACAGGGTCCATCAACAATCACAGTGAATCGTTGGTCGTTCCTCATTACTGATAGAAAACATGTTACTGAGATATTTCGATAAAGCTTCAGCTTTTTCGATACCATTTCTTGCCTTTATTAACGGATTTTCTTGTATCACAAGTGATGGAATTCCATCACTTCTCTCAGTTTACCTTTTTACACACGAGAATAACCATTTCGGACGATATTTACGATCCCTAGAAATTTGTTTTTCATACGACCGTCCAGTTTTACTTAATAATAGTTAACTGGCATTCTTAGTCTTACAATAATGGTTTTGTGCTGCTCTAAGCCAATGGAGATGGATATATTCCAATGCTTTTTCCTACGTCTAACAAGTTTCTTGAATTGTTTGGTTATTTATAGTGGACAGTTATTCGGTCTACGTGGCACTAGGCATGGTATAAACGAGGACGTCACTGAGTTGAACCTGACTTTAAGTAAAGACAACGCTTCTTCAACTGATGACCAAGTACCTACTGACCAATCTGTCTTAGCAGCACACTCCTGAAGGGCTGATGTGTTAGCTCACTATACATTTGGGCGAGGCTTAACCTGGTCGTATATAATACCACTAGATCTTAACGTATATGACGAAACAGCGTGTTAGCTATTCGCTAACGGTGGAAGAATATTTAGGTCGGCAATATCTTCTGTGGCATAAGTGATTAATAAGTCTAACAAAGAAGTACCTTGGTTTGCACCAAGACGTGTGGGTTTGGATATATTCTGCAACAATACATGCTCCATTGCTGTTATCAGGAAGCTGCTGTTGTAGTCTCCACCATTGGTTTCACTTCCTAACGAGTGATCCTATAACAAGCAAAACTAGACAATTTGCCGGAAAACGAAGCCTGCTCATGATTCTATAAAATCAATAAAAATCAAAATGAGCTGAAATAGCTTTAAAAACAGGGAGATAGTCACTTGTGTATTAGAATACTGCTTTCAGTACTGTATTTAAGGACTCTACATAGTCCCATACTTTCAGCTTCTTTTTAAACTATTGCTATTTTTGCAGTTCTTCGTCCATTCATACGATATTTTCGCTTGTTTTCTCCAATCCGTTAGAATTCACTTGCTTAAAAGCACCTTAATAATAGCAAATTAAACTAAGTAGTCATATCTTTACCATTTCGTCACAAATGGTTTAATTTAAATATGCATGAACATTGTATGTTTTACTTCTCGTCCTTTCTATTTCTTACCCTCTTTTTCAGCCTCTTCGAGATCTGCCTCTTAAAACGCATGTGGAATGTGTGATTTCGTCCTGCTCCATCATTAATCCTTCAGATGTTACAGAGGGATATACGATTACGGTTTACAGAAGCTTTCAAATTTTCGTGCATTTACTGCCGAATTTCGGCTG